AAACAATTCATTGCATTCATTAATGTCACAATTACTATTACATCAAAAGGATGTCAACGAACGACGATTGCCAGAAAACTGCCGTGATCGTTATGTGATCAGACGATTAGCCAAATCATCTGATGGGTACCTTTTTTGCATGCATATTATTTCAATCATTTGCAATTACCAAAAATTGAATTCTCATTTCTAATTTTTATTTATAAGCTATAGTAACCAATGAAAGTGTAATTTAATCCAAGAAGAATTACAAATTGAATGTAATAATGCAAAGAATTTCTATTCATTAACTTTTCTAATCATTCAAATTAAATCATTTAGTCTTGGAATTTTTAATTGTTATAAATTGAGTGTAATAATGCAACAATTTCAATTGCAATCACTTAATCAAATAATTTAATCTTGCAAAAATTTTTTTTTTTCCAATCATACTTAAAACAAATCAGTATCAACAAAATTTCTTTTAATTTTCTCAATCATTTAAAAGAAATGAATGTTTTGGAAGATGGAAAAGTGAGACTAATAAATAGTTTCAATCAATCAATATATGCATATTTTAGCATAACAGCAACAGATTTGGAGCTATTACGGAAGACATTTATGGAACGATTCAATAATTGTAAAAAACATTCGGAAAGAATTTATGAATTGAAAAGTGCAATTTGTGCTATAAATGAAATTCAAATTTGTTCGTATTCTTTTGCCTTTGCGTGAAACACGTAAAAACAAGCATTTTATTAGAAGTCCATAAAACGTATAGTTTATAGTAAAATTTGTAGATGCTCATAAATATAAAATAAATTGTTTATGATGAATATTGTTAAATTTTGAAATTTCAGGCTCACGTGACTTTCAATGGTTAACCCAATATCAATATATTTTAAATTGGTGTTATTGTCAAATAAGATTTATTAGCAATCCTACAGAACGACTTCGATTATTTTTTGAAGTTAAGGTAATTCATTTATTTCTCAGTACTTCTCAAACTGATTGTTCTTCTTGTATTATTCCTTTCACATTATTGTTTTTGTTTGCTTGCTTGTTTAATTCGTTATTTAAAATTGTTTATTTAATTAATTTGCTTGCTCTATTTAATTACACATTTGTTTACCTTTTTTCCCATGAGTCATTTATGTCATATTAAATTACATTTGAAACATATAATTCAATTAATCAGTCAATAAATTATTGAATACTATAATAAAATATTTGAATTGCTAACAAATTTGAGGAAAAATATCGGAAGATTTTTGAAATGTTAAGTGATGTGGATGATGTCAATAAATTAACATCATACCTTCACTGGTCACAATTATGCTATCAGTATGCGGAACTTGTTGATCGAGAATCATTATCATGGTGTATAGAAGCGATCATTAATGCTAAAAATGCATTATTTGGTAATTTTATCAATTTTTCTAATTTCAAAAATTCATTTAATTCATGCATTTCTCAAAAATTTTTCGTCAACATTTTAATTTTATAAGACTTCATTGTTAAAGAAAATAAATAACAACGAATTTAATGATAAAATAAAATTTTTTTCTCCACTTTTTATTAGTTATTTTAGTATCATCATCAAGGTCATCAACATTGTCCGGAAAAACGGATAGTAGCGGATCATATCGATCAATGTCTACCAATAGTGTAAATGCTAATGAACAAATGGAAAGTATCGGATCGATAAATCAACGACGAGTCAAAATAGCAACTGTCGGATTAATTCAAAGTAATATATTAAAAGCTGAAAATGTATATGCGTGCTCGTTGAAAAGGTGATTAAAAGTTTTTTGCAATAAATGATAAACGTGTCAATTTATTGACTTACTTTCGTGGCCATAGCACGTCAGCTTCCATAATTTCTTCACACATCCATAAATGATATCATATCACTAGAAAATTTTGATCAAAAAGCACAAAGTTATTTTCACAATACAATCGTCACTTTCTTGCTCGTTAATTAATTGATAGATGTTATCCATAAAGCTATCAATTTTTTTTTCTTATCAGATAATAGTTTTCTTTTTAGAGGAAATTTTTTTTTAAAAGGAAAAAATTTAAAAAAGCATTTTGTTTTTTCCATCTCCTCCTACTTTTTATATTTCTTTAAGCAGCAATGGCATAAATATGAATAGATATTTTTAATTAAAAAAAGAAAAGACGTAAATTTTTTGGTTTAAATTTTCGGCACAAAATATATTTTATTTGGCAAACTATTTGTTGAATGAACGAAAAAAATTTTGAATTGAATTGATAATCGATTAAATCCCATTTGAGTAAAATACAAAAAAATAGTTGTTAATAAATTATAGGATTAAATCAAAAAGGAAAACTTTATTAATTAAAATTACGCTCCATTTCAAAATAAAAATTATTAATAATAGTCATTTATTAATGATTAAATGATGGAATTTTAATATGATGAATGATGGAAAAAATTAAATGATGGAATTTTAATAGTAACCTAAAATTTAAAACAAAATGTTAGAAATATTTTTTTTTCCTTTTTATCAAGTAAATTTTAATGTTTATTCTACAATAATAACAATAATAATTAAAATCAAAGTTAAATATTAATTTTTTCTAATAAAGCATAAATATACAAAATTTAAATTATTTCAAAATTCCTTCACTTATTCTATGCAATATTCTAACGGTATTGGTTGAAATAGGAACAGCTGTTAGGAAATTATTGAAATGAAATTGTAGTCTATATGTGTATGTGTATGTGTGTATGTGT